GCCGGGGACAGACACCACCAGTCACTCCCAGTAAGTCCCAGTAGGTCCCAGTCAGCACCCCCACCCAGCCCAATCCCCCCCAACACAAAGCAGTCCAAGACCAGCGTTTGCCACCTCCAGCCTCTCCTGAGCCGGAGCTGGAGGGGACACCCCAGGGGGACAGTGGGTGCCCCAGGACCCCACGGCTCTCCCAGCCCCCCCCCCGTGGCCACCACCCAAGAGGGCCGGGGGCCACCCCTCCCAAGCCTGTGGTCGCCAGGAGGGACGGCGGCGCTGGGGAAAGCTGAGTTTTTTGGGAGGGGGGCTGCACCCCAAGGTGCCCCATCAGACCCCGCTGGGCCCCAGCACGTCCCCGTCCTGTCCCCACGGGACACGAGACCAAACCCCGGCACCGCTGGGGGCCCGGGAGTCCCCAGGGGGTCAGCGGGGGCGTTTTGGGGCACTTTAAGGTGTTTTAAACACTGTAATGCCCTGTTGGGGTGGCCGGCGCAGAAGGCAGCGCTGCCCCTGCTCCCCCCGGGGCCATCTCGGTGGCCACCTCTGGCCACACTCCAGCAGGTCCCAGTCCTTCTGGTGGCCCCGGGGACAGCACTTGAGGGGGGGTCTCCCCAGAGCGGAGCAGAGGGACAGAATCCCCCCCCCCAACCCTGCTGGGGACACAGCCCAGGACACGGGGGGCTTGCCAGGCTGCCGGCCCATGGCTAGTTTTCCCCCCTCCTCACCCTCCCCAGCCCCCCAAGCCCTTCTCTCCATCCCTCCACCCCCAGCCTGGGCTGGGATGGGGGGGGGGCTGCTCCCCCTCAGGGGCAGGACCCTGCCCTTGGCCTGGTTGAACCCCATGGTCCCTCACCCCCCCCCAAGACCCCCCCTCCTGGCACAAGAAGACGGCGGAGCCACGCTGGGGGGGGATAAGGCTTTAATGAGGAAAGAGACGCATCCACAGCCCCTTCAGGGGGGGGCACAGTCCACCCCAAGGAGCCAGATCCCACCCGAGGGTCCCGTTTAACCCCCACCAGCCCCGGGACACACGGCGAGGTCTCCAATGGAAAGTCCATCACGGAATCACCAAACCTGACCCCCCCTCCTGCTTACAGGGGGCCAGCAGCCCCCCCAAATCCATGGCCACAACTTCAGCCAACAGCCCCCCCAAACCTGTTCCCAGGGGGGCCACGGGG